AGATACCATTTTGCAGTTAGGATTAATTGCCAGATTCATGATAGAATGTAAATTTGATGAGAATCAGAAAATATTTATAGAACAACTTTCTAAAATATGTTAGTTTTGAATGCATGTAGAGTGGGACACATAATTCAGTCTGCAAGGATTTGAGGTGTTGGCAGTGTTTTGGAATCACAAAAGGGGTAAAATCTTCAGAGTAGTTGAATGTATTAGAATTATGGAATATAGAAATTAAATGGCTCTCTTAATCCACCCTCAAAGAGATGTGAGAGTTAACAGTTTGGTGTTCTTTCCAGATTTTATTTTCTATACTTAGGTAAATTACATATACATTTTAAACACACACAACAAAAATATTGTCTGTTTCAGCAGCTTATCCTTCCTCCCTCAATATTATGAACACTGCTCTATGTCTGTAATAAAGATTTATTTTATTCTTTTTGATGGCTATATAATATTCTGTTGTGTGGATGTACCACAGTTTAAAGAAGGATTTAATTAATTCCTTCTTGGTAGATTATGGGGTTATTTACAATTTTTTATTCTTTTTAAAAATGCTATATTGAAGTATACCTAAAAGCCGAACTAGAGATCAAATACTAGAGTGTAATATTGGGTGAAAGAGTATGACCATTTAAAGATTTAGTAGCTAATTCCTAAAGGTTGTACCAGTTTGTGCCCTGTACCCTTAACCACTGTATGTGAGCACCCGCTTCTCTTCACATGCCAACACTGGTGTTAATCAGTTTTTTAAATAATAGTCCTATAAGAGAAAAATACCTTAATTTACATTTTAAAAGTTATTGAGATTGAGCCTTTTGTGTATCTTTGTGAACTGCTTGTTCTTTGCTCATTTGGCAAAAGGAAATTAAGCTAGCCCTTGCCCAACACGATTTTCCATTTGCTTTCTGAGGGTAATGTTTTTGAATATAAGTTCTCATTGTAGAACTGTATGTGGAATAGATTTAAGAGGATGGTATCTATTCTGTTCCTAGATAACATTTAGAAGTCTTTTTGTTTTTGAGGGATTGGGGTATAAAAGGGGAGAGAAACAATAACATATTGATATTATTTTCTGTTGAATGTTTTTCATAAATACCAAAAAACATTTTGATGAATCCTATTTTTATTGAATATACAACTCAAAACTATGTCTTTGTTGTTTGCTGGGCTTCTGTCATGTTAATCCACCTTTTGAGTGCTAATAGATACCAATTTTAGTTGGATAAATAACAATATACTGAAATATTAGCCTTTTTTTTTGATTCCTGGTGTATGAACTTCTGAAAAAGGGATTAACCTTATCACTCAGCCTAGTAGAGATTGTTCTGGGATATCTAATTGAGTTGCTTACTCCTTCCAGGGTGTTCCTGAAAAGAAAGTACTTCCAATCACTGTCCCCAAGTCACCAGCCTTTGCTCTGAAGAACAGAATCAGAATGCCCACCAAAGAAGATGAGGTGATTCCCTGGGATGAGGGTTTCTATTCCTTCCACATAATCTAAGCATTACTCTTTCTTAAACTTAGTGGAATTCAAAGGCAGTTACTCTTGCTGGAGTTGTCTTAACAATGGGTATGAACGTTTGATCATCTTTTTGGTTCTTCCAAAAGCAAAGTAGTTAGTAAGGGTATGAATCTTTCGGCTTTCCGTGATAACTGGTTGTAACTTATTGGAAGCTTGTTTGTTTCTATTGCATTGAAAATTAGCCTGCTGTTGTAATGTGAGTCAAAAGTTGCCAAGACTTACACTCTTTTGCCTGAGTTATTGTCACCATTCAGTGAGAGACTTTTAAAGTTCATACTAAGCATTTAGGTCTGCCCTGTCCTATCTCCTTTAGCCCAAGGGTTGCACAGGTGACTGTGTGGTGGTGGTTTATGAAGTTGGGATACATAAACTGTCATTGATCAGGCTAGTTTCTTGTTACATCTCCCGTTTTTATCTATAAATATCCAGAGTTAAGGTAATTTTATAGCAGATCTCAAGCATAAGCCTTTTTATAGTTTCACTTGAAACTAAAATACACAGTAATCTTATGTTACCAGCTTGAACCCAAACAACTTACTTGGTCCTATTCTGGGTTTGGCTACTGAGAATACTCCCAGTCACATGTTTTAGTGGAACCTGGAGGCTGGGTCAAAGAAGAGGCCAAGGTACATGCGTGGTTAGTACCTTCCTTCTGTTCTTCATTTTATTCATGCTATTTGACCTCATTTAGTTTTTACAACCTTCTTGTGAAAACTTTTAGATCCTTTAAGAGTAATTGGGTTAGTTTATCAAATGCTTTCACATTGGTTTCACCCCTGTGAGTTGTTAGGTGACTTTGTAGGTTGGTGAGTTGGTAGGTATCCCTCTTTGATAGAAGAGGAAGCTAAGACACCTAAGAGGTTGAGTGACTTGCCTTAATTAGTGACTTCTCTCATATAATGTCTTCTGACTCCACATTCAAAGGAGGTGAGAGAGAGCAAGTAGTCTTGTTTCTAAACTGCAGTTTTTTCCTCAGGAAGAGGAGGAGCCAGTAGTGATAAAAGCTCAACCTGTGCCGTATTTTGGGATGCCTTTTAAGCCCCAAATCCCAATGGGAAGAACTGTGGAAATATGCCCTTTCTCTTTTGATTCTCGAGACAAAGAACGTCAGTTACAGAAGGAGAAGAAAATAAAAGAACTGCAGAAAGGGGAGGTAGGTGTTTCCATTTTTGCAAGTAGCACGATACTATTCTTTGATGCCTCAGAGGTAATCTTTTATATTGCACTTATAACTATAAAATCACGGACTTCCTTTGATCCCTCTGAGTATAAATAGGGCAAGCAATTTAAAATAACTGTCTGGCACAAAGTTTAAGTGACTTGCCCATGATCATGCTGCTAGTTATTGGCAACATTGGGAGGAAAACCTCTTTTTCCTTTTGAGCCCATTACTCTTTCTGCAACACGATGCTGCTTTGGTAACTGGCCTTTCCTATTTTTCAGATTCATTCAAATATTCTGGAGCAGCTGCTGCCTTCTGGCTAAAAAGACTATCTTAAACCTTAAGTTTTCTTTTCCATTAGGTGCCCAAGTTCAAGGCACTTCCTTTGCCTCATTTTGACACTATTAACCTGCCAGAGAAGAAGGTGAAGAACACAACTCAGGTTGAGCCTTTCTGCTTGGAGACTGACAGAAGGGGTGCTCTGAAGGCACAGACTTGGAAGCACCAGGTGGGGATGGGGAGAGAGCAGCTAAAATGTGAATTGCTTGATTGTTGGTTTGTTACAATAGGTAGACCCACTACACTGAACTTACCTGGAAACTAACATACTGAATTATTTCAGGGGCTCTCACTCTAAATTAGAGGTCGGCAAACCTTTTCTATAAAAGACTAGATATTAAATATTTTAGGTTTTGTAGGTTACATATAGTGTCTATCACATGTTCTGTGTGTGCGTGTGTGTTTCAACCCTTCAAAAATGTAAAAAGCATTTTTTGTTCAAGAGGTATACGAAAAGAGGTTGCAAGCTGGATTTGGCCTGCAGGCTTAAGTTTGCTGATCTCTGCTTTAAGTGATCATCTGGGGAATGTGGGAAATAATAGGCTTTTTTTTGCCTCAAGAGTTAAGATCTTATCTATTAGACTTGTTCATTAAATGTTCACTCCTTTCTTTTTTTCTTTTTTTTAAATTGAAGTATAGTTGATTTATAATCTTGTGTTAGTTTCAGGTATACAGCATAGTGATTTAGTTATACACATATATATTCTTTTTCATTATAGGTTATTATAAACTATTGAATATTGTTACTGTGCTATACAATAGGACTTAATTGTTTATCTATTTTGTATATAGTAGTCTGTATCTGCTAATCTCAAACTTAAAATTTATCCCCCGCCAACCCTTTTCCCCTTTGGTAACCACAAGTTTGTTTTCTATGTCTGTGAGTCTGTTTCTGTTTTTTAAAAAGTTCATTTGTGTCATTTTTTTTTAGATTCCATATATAAATGGTATTATATGATATTTGATACTTAGTATGATCATCTCTAGGTCCATCCATGTTGCTGCAAATGGCATTATTTCATTTTTTTTATGTTTGAGTAGTATTCCAACATGTATATATACTACAACTTCTTTTTTGGGGGGGTGTTTAAGGAAAAAAAATACATATATATATTTTTTAATGGCGGTATTGGGGACTGAATCCAGGACTTCATGCATGCTAAACATGCACTCTTACCACTGAGCTATACCCTCCCTTGCTTATACCACAACGTCTTTATCCATTCATCTGTCAGTGAACATTTAGGCTGTTTCCATGTCTTGGCTATTGTAAATAGTGCTGCTATGAACATTGGGGTGCATGTAGCTTTTTGAATTAGAGTTTTCTCTGAATATATGCCCAGGAGTGGGATTGCTGGATCATCTGGTAACTCTATTTTTAGTTTTTTAAGGAATGTTCATACTGTTTTCCATAGTGGCTGTACCAAATTACATTCCCACCAACAGTGTAGCAGGATTCCCTTTTTGTTCACTTCTTTCTGTTGGTGCTTTGATAAGAAAATATACAGTGAGAATAAATTCTCAATATGGTATGTTGTTTTCTCAACATAGTGTGCTCTTTGCTCTTTATAGATGACAGGTGATTAAAAAGTTAATCGGTTGTTGGCTGATTTAATTGGAATCTAATTCTACCGTCTGAAAAAAAAATTCCCTTGAGCCCCTAAGTTTGTCAGTATTGATATAGTCTCTTATTCTGGACGATGAAAGGGGTTCTGGCCTAATCTTTTTGTCTGTGGAAAGTCACCCCTCAGAAGTGCAAGAGACGTGATTGCTTATGTGACTAAGCACTTATGTAGGCCCCTTGTTAGCATTGTTCTTGAGGAGAACTTAGGACTATTGGCTTTGGAAGCAATAGTGAAACTCTCTTTCAAGGACCATGACATAGAATGTCTATGTGTGGGGTATTTCCCATAATAAAAAAAAATGTTTAAAACTTTTTCAGACATACATAAAAGTAGAATAGTATAATGAATTTATATGAACCTGTCACCCGGTTCTCTCGTGATCAAAACATGGAAAATCTTATTTCATGTATAGTTCTACCTACTTGTCTCTATACTGGATGCTTCTACCTACACAAGATTACTTTGAAGCAAATCCTAGGTATCATTTCATTTCATCTAAAAATACTTCAGTGTGTATCTTTAAAATATAAGGATTAAAAAAAGCATAACCATAGTACTATTATTGCATTTTGAAAGATTAACAGTAATTCCTTAATAGTGACAAATAGTCAGTGTTCATATATCCCCAAATCCCTCATTTTTTTTAAACAGTCATATTGTTCAAATCAGGATCCAAATAATGTCCACATATTACATTTATTTGATAAATCTCTAAATCCCTTTAATCTATAGGCTGCTCTACTTGCATTTTATTTGTTGAGTAAACTAGATTGTCCTATAAATTTTACAGTCTGGATTTTAGTCATTGTATTCCCATGGTGTTGATTAATATGTTCCTCTATCTTCTGTATTTCCCATTAATGAGTATTTAAATCTGGAGACTTGATTAAATTCTGGTTAGATTCTTTTTGGGATTAGTGGGGAGAATACTTTATAGGTGATCCTATCCAGGGGTATATAATGTCTAATATCTACTTGTTTATTTTTTGTGATGTTAAGATAGGCCTTAAACATATCTTTAAGGTACTTTCTGATTCTCATGGGGTTCAGATATTGTTGATCTGATCTACTTAATGTAAAAGGGATTTTAATTTGGGTTTAAATTAAATCACCTGCTGTTTTTATTGATGAAACAGTTCAGAAACATTAGAATTTGAGTAATGAGGTGATAGTTAGGAAAAGTTGTGTAGTTGCCGATCTAACAGATTTTCTTTCTAATAGCTGGAAGAAGAACTGAAACAGCAGAAAGAAGCAGCTTGTTTCAAGGCTCGTCCCAACACCGTCATTTCCCAGGAGCCCTTTGTTCCTAAGAGAGAGAAAAAATCCCTCACTGGTAATAGTTTATGTGTTCTTGTGGGATTGGGGCAGTATTGTCAGACTTCCTGGGACTCAGTTGTGTCAGTACAATGTTGTGTCGATTAGAGAAGCATTTGCCTGTAGAGGATCTAGTTTTCTCCCCCTTGATCTTTGTTGAATCCAGCAGCTATGTTGATTTGTAGAATGTGTTGGGGTCGGATTGAAAGAACAAGAGCCTGGGCAGAGGCAGCTGGCAATTCAACAACAATTATACTTTCCCCATCCAGGGAGTAGCAAATAAGTGAGGGAGGGAGAGCCAGGACTTCTTTCTGGAGTTTACCCTGGAGCAAGCCTTCGATAGAAAGCATTTGATTCGTTAAACATGGGCAATGTGTCAGAAAATTGGGATTCTCCTCCTAAATCCGTCTCAAAATCACTATGTAGTTTTGAGTAAGCTACTTTTCCTGTGTAGATCTTGCTTTTTCCCTAATTAGATGATTTATGGGAGCTCTTCCAACCCTTAAAATTTTAGAACTTTTGTGGTTTTACCCCACCTTTCTCCTGGCAGGGCTTCCTTAGAGCTCAGCCTTTCTGTTTCCATGCATGTCTGTGCCACTTGCTGGAACTGTGGGAGGTTTATGCAAGTCCTGCTTGTGCACCAATATTCTCTCTGTTTCTGTACTCAGAGGGCCTAGTTCAGGAAACTTTCCAGCTGGCCACTGAGAAGAGGGCCAAGGAGCGGCAGGAGCTGGAGAAGAGAATGGCTGAGGTGGAAGCTCAGAAAGCCCAGCAGCTGGAGGAGGCCAGGCAGCAAGAGGAAGAGCAGCAGAAGGAGGAGCTAGCCAGGCTACGGAAAGAACTGGTAACCAGGCAGCCCGAGCACTGACTAACCTGTGGTTGTGTCTGTTTTGTTTTATCTGTACCTTGCCTACCTTGCCTTGTTCCGGAAAGGATCTAAGGTGGCCTACAAGGATTCGTCAAAGATGAGTGAAAATGAGAAATCACATAAGCCAAGAAGGGCGGTGACAAAGTTGAGGTGTGAACAAGGCTAAAGATGTGTAAATTGTGATCTACCGATCTGCTAAGTTTGAGCCATAATTTTGGCCCTTTTTAGGAACCAGCCTGTCAGTTACAAAACTCAAAATGATCAGGAGGAAGAAACAAGCTAGTTATTTAAAAAATACATTTATCCTTGATACTAAATTCAGCCAGAATTTCTTCCAGGGGATCTTCATAAGGAGGACATCTTGTGCACAACTATGCACAATTATGCATTTGTAGGACTTTATTTAACTTATTTTTATTGTTATTTTGTTAAGACTTAAGAAAATCAATGTGTTTTACAAGAATACGTAGGTAGAGAAGGACATGGGAATTGTGTGATGACTGTATCTTCATTTTCCTCTTAATACTTGACTCAGATTCCTTGGAGTTTAAGTGCATATCGGTCCAGGTGGCCCTCCATGCTAACACTAGATAGTGATTTACGTATTAGTTACCCGAAAAGAAAGCGTAGTTCACATTAAGAACCCTTTCACTAGGAGGGCAGCAAGCCACATTAACTTTATTAATGAAGAAGACAGTTTTAGATGAAACTGCATATGATTAGTAGAAGGATGAATAGAGAAACATGTAAGTTGTTGAGGTTCTGTCTAAAAATGCTAAGCCAACAGCTGTATCAGCTGTTGACAGAGGTGGTTGGCCACAGGAAGGCTTTAGGGACAAACTATTAAAGCGATTAGCTCCTCGACAAAATCCAAGCTACCCTTTGCTGATTGGATTTTAAAAACATATGTATAATCTTTGGTCCTTACAAAACCAGCCTTTTTTCCAGCCTCAAGTGTTTTGAATTTTCTACAGCACTTGAGTCTTGCCTCTTGTGTTTGTCCATATCATAGAACTTTCTACTAATCTGGCTTGATTCAGGGTTAATTCTAGACTGTCAGAAGGATGGATGGGACCATATGTTCTCCCAGAAACCTTTCCTGGTCATTGGTTTTGTGTGTGTGTGTGTGTATGTGTGTCTATGCTTTTGGTGAATATTAAGATTCAATAAGCTTAAGATTATACTCTAGCAAATTCTTAACATATATCTCTTTTCTTCTGCAATTGAATACAGCCCCCTTATACCCTAGTAATAAATAGTCAAACTGAAGATAGATGCAAGCTGAGGGGCCCAGCACAACCTGAATGGAAACTAACTTGGGCTCCAAAGCACATGTGTGTTGCTGTTACACTGTGTTGCCACCCCTCTGCCACCTCTTTGAATCAGTGACTAGGATCTGTGAAACTATACCAAAATTTTCTCAAGAAGAAAAATGAAATCACCCATAAGCATAGTTCTCTAACATCCTTATCAATGGTAACCCTGTTTTTCTCACTCTGCAGGTGCACAAGGCAAATCCAATACGCAGGTACCAGGGTGTGGAGGTCAAGTCAAGTGACCAGCCTCTGACCGTTCCTGTATCGCCCAAGTTCTCCACTCGATTCCACTGCTAAACTCAGCCATGAGCTGTGGACACCACCTGGGAACTGGAGCTGCTCTTTCCATTAAACCAGGAGCCGTCTTTGTCACAGGGGCGTGGAGAGAATCCATTTCTCCAGGCTTTGCCCTGCCCATGCCCGACAGAGCATGCCTGACAAGTGTGGACTCCGATTCCTTTGAGGGTTGTTTTCCTACATTATTGAGGCTAATAATGAGACTCAACTCACGTATATCTCAGCTGGACTCCATGTAGTTGTTTCCTTTGAACCATCAGTTGACCTTTTGTATGGGTCCTAACTCTGACTAGAATTTAAATTCTCTGTATTAGCACAGTGTTATTTCTGTTGCCCTTACCCCTCCTTTTTTTTTTTTCTATTTTAATCAGAAAATAAAGATAGTTAAATACTGAGACAGGATTTAAGTCATGGATTAAATGAGGAACCATCAGTAGTATATCAGATTCTTCTCTGCAAAATGAATTTAGAGTTAAGAAGCCCTTGGCTACAAGGGGGAAAGGCTCGTTAACTGCATGACAAGGAAGAGAACTTATTGACGGGGAACCTCACATTGGCCATCAGCAGGCTTCGGGTAGAGCTGCTTTTCAGGCACATTCTTCCCTTTTTGGTGCTGATGATAACAAGGAATGCTGAGTAGTGCACGTTTTAAGTCCTCCAGTGACCTGGACTGTAATAAATATTTTTGTCTTCCTCTCCCAATTTTGTTATTTGATGTTTTTAAATCTGTCAGGCCCCTTTGGAGGTCACACCTTATTGGGGGAAGTAGGTACTTTGAGAGGAGGGCTCAGGAACTTTTAAAAATATATACTCTGTCCTTAAAGGAAAGTGCTTCGTGACTTTTTTTCTGTGTTACGTCAGAATATTCTCCCATGTTTTGTTAACTCTCTCCTAGGAACCATTCTGGAAGTGTGTTATTCCATCAGACAGACTGTGCCTTCTTCCCTAAGTGTGCCTTTTCTCACCTGGTAAACTCTTCCTTATGAAACTCAGCCCTAGTAAAATCTTTTTCATAAATCCTTCCTTGACCATCTGACCTCAGGTAAGATGATAACTTCCTTCTCTGTGCCTTCCAAATGTTCCTTCTGTATGTCTCTGGTAGAATAGTTATACCACTGAGTTACTTGTATTTGTTTTTGAACTAGTAGAGATGCAGATAACTAAAATTATGTTAGTCTTTGAAGGTAAAAATTATGTTAATCATCTCTCTATTTCTCAGCACAGAATTTGCTAGGTGCATGTTAAATGGTATATTTTCTTTTAGATTTGACATTATTTATGAACTCCTACTCTGTACCAGTCATCTACTGTGCCACGGACTATAAAAGCCCAGGCAGACCTAGGCACCATGTATGATGTTAGACCTATTTTATATTCCTTTTGTTTATTCATTCAGTAAGCATTGTCTACAGACCACTGTGGATTTAGTGACAGACGACAAAGCAAGATGATTTGCAGATCCCTGGGCCTCATGTAGGCCCACAGACTGATAGAAAGAGCAGTTCCTTTATTCATTTCCTAGAGGTATATGCTCTGCAGTTCCATAACTACTTGTGTAGTTCATTTAACAAATAGTGATTTGCTGCTAACTCTATATACCTTGGCACTGTTCTAGTCTCTGGGAATATAGCAATGAACAGAAATAGAAGACCTTGACTTCGTGGAGCTTACTTTTTAGAAGGGGAGACAGACAATAAACAAGTAGTTGTCTCTTCTGTTGGGTGATAAATGTTTCTGTGACTGACTGCTGTGTGGAAAATAGACAAGAGTGGGGAGTTGAGGGCATGTGAGATTGGAAATAGGAAGGTGAGGAGGTTCTTGTTGTTCAGGGGAGAGCTGATAGTGGTTTGATAGGGTGGCAGCAGTGGAGGTGATGAGAAGTGGTGGGACCCTGAATGTATTTTGAAGCTGTAACTGACAAGACTTGCTAAGAGATTGGAGGTGGAGAGAGAGAGAAGATAGTCAAGGAGGGCACCCAGGTATCAGTCCCAGAGAGAGTTCTCCACCACTTGTACTGTGAGAAGCCCCATTCTACCCCAGTCCTCATATCTCTTGTGGATTCTTGGTGGTGGGGTTTTCATTTTTTCCTGGTCACCTCTTACTTTGGTTTTCCTGCACCTGTTCATCTCTTGAGCCCCCTCTGTGTCTATCCTCTGTAGCTTTTCTCTCTCTCATGTATCAGCAGTTCTCTAGCAGTTCACTGTCATTCATATGTTACTATCTGGTATTCCGTGTATTTTGTCCACTTTTTGTTTTGGTTGTTTCAGGTAGAAGAATAAATCTGGCCCTCAAGTTGAGGGTTTTGGAGAGAGTGTTATTGAAAATTATGGACCTATGGAATCCTTCCACCTCATTTGTTTCATTCTGGATTACTACCCCCTTCCCCAACACACCCATGTCAGCGTGGTAATGTGTGACAGTCTTTTAGAGGCGAAACAGGGATTATGTTACTTTAGAGCAAATAGCTTTTAAAATTAAGGTGCAGACATCCGTTGCCTCTTGTTTCCCAGAATGTCTCAGTTTCCCAGGGGCTGTCTGCTCCTCAGCACAGTCTGTCTGATATCGAGTCCTCTCTTTCTGGACCACCTCACATGACCTTTGTTTTTCTAGTGCAGCCTCCCATTTCCCCTGAAACTCAAACTCCACTTTTATTTTACAGAGAAATTCAGGTTCTTTCTCTCTCCAGGCCATGTTCAAGAGGGAGCTTCTCTCCCAACACTCAGAGGTTACCCCAGAATTTTCCTAAACAAAGACCATGTCCTCTAATAGGAATTTACTGAATTCTCCTGAGAAATCTGGCTGCCACACTTGGCAGTTTTGCAAATCTCTTAGTACACACACACATGCAGATTGTTGGAATTCCCACGATTTCTGGGAAAGACTATTTTCAGTGTTGTTTTGATTGGTCGTGGTTTCCCATTGCTAATAGTCTTGTGCTAATTAATACAAGATTACGGCTCACTCTTGCTTTGGTTGCTCATTTTATTCTTGTGTAATTGCTTTGTTGCTATCTTGGCTGCTGTTTTATTCCTTACCTGTTCTCTCTCACTGAATGTTGTCCTTGGAAAGTGAATCTTGAGTGGTAGACAGGCTACAGTGACAGTTGCTCCAGCATTTGATAGCGATAAGTCCCGTACACAAGTAATTGTAACGCAAGATAGGATGTGATTGAATAACAGGAGACAGAAAAAATGCTGCAGGAGTTTAGGAATTCTTGTTGGAGGTGAGATTGTAGTTCTTAAAGATTTTTTCTTTTTTTTTAAGTAAAAATTATGAAAGTAACACAGTCATCCCTCGGTATCCACAGGGAATTTGTTCTAGGACCTCCTGTGGATACCAAAATCCAGTGCTCAAGTCACATATAAAATGGCATATTTGCATATAACCTACACACATCCTCCCATATACTTTAAATCATCTCTAGATTACTTATAACTGAAAAGGAAGCATGTCAAGATTTATCTAAAGGTATACACAGGTTTAACCAGATATTCAAGCCAGTAAGCCCCCAAGGCTCACCTAAGCCAGGAACTAAAAGACCAAGTGTTGCTGACCTGTCCTCGAGTCCTTGGGACCTCAGGTCACTAGCCCAGGACATCACGTAGAGGAACTAGACCCCACTACAGGTATGCAGTGGGTTGAACCTGCAGGTGCGGAACCTGTAGATACAGAGTGCTGACTGTACTGCGTTTTGAAAACAGTACAAACTATAAAATAAAACATGAAAGTCTCCTTACACTCCCTACTCCCATTCCCCTCCATTGATAGCAGTTGTATATTCTTCCAGAATGTTTTCTATGTACATGCACAGATTTATAGAACATTTTCTTTTTTTATAACAAGATTATCGCATTATGCATTTACCTTTAATTTTAATTTGTCCTTTGAAGGTTATGCATTCACATCGTTCAAAATTTTAAAGCTACAAAGGTGCTCAGTTCCCCAACCCAGAGATAGTGCTGCCAAGTGTGTTCCTGTGCAGAGGTGGCCTCAGCATAAATGTCTTTCTACCTGCTCCCTCTTATTTTTGCACAAATAGTATCACACTTCACACTGTACCTTGTGCTTTCCGTGTGTGTTCTGCATTGAATGATGTGGTTCAGATGCTACCCTGGGTGTGTACTAGCTGTCTTCCTGGCTGAAGTATGAAGCCTCTTAGGAGAATCTAGTGACGTGGAGACAGACCTGTAGTGGGGTCTATTCCACTATGTGATGTACTGGGCTAGTGACCTGAGATCCCAAGGACTCGAGGGCAAGTCAGCAACACCTGGTCTTTTAGTTCTTTTAGTTCCTGGCTTAGCTGAGCCTTGGGGACTTATTGGCTTGAATATCTGGTTAAACCTGTGTATCCCCTTAGATAAATCTTGACATGCTTCCTTTTCAGTTCCCTTCTGAGTCTCGTCTGCTGGGAAAGTTCCTCATTGCTGAGAGAAGCAGTTACAAAAGCTGTCAGCCACGTGGCTGGGCTCCTATTTCTGCACAGGCAGGCTGAGTTACAGCTTGGTGGTGTGGATCCAGGTAGGAGTCAGTCAACATTCTGAATCCTGAGCTGCCATCTGCCTTGCAGCCTACTGGGATGCTCAGTTTAGACAACATATAAAGTTTCCTGGATGTGGGACAAACCCCGGCCTATGGAAAGAGCAGGGAGGTTAAAGTGTGTAGTACTTTGAGCAGTGACGAAGGCGTAACCAGGGAGTTGACATGTTTGCTCCAACGCCAAGAATTCCAGGACAATTTGTTACCCAGCTGAGGCCAGTGTAGTTGCTACAAAAAAGAAGCCTGAGGACAAAAATGTACTTTTCCTTTGTTTCCTTTGTCTTCCTGCATACCTGCTTTGTTTCCTAGTGCTGTAGTGAAGGTTACTGACATCAAAAACAAATGTCTAATGGTGTTTGCTGTTCTCTTTCTTGCAAGAGAATAAGAGGCTGGGCTCAGGGCAAAGCATGGCTCTTCTGTGCTGAAGGTATCAGCTTCCTAAAAAGGCTTGACAAATGCTGACATTTTACTTGGAGGAACCATAATTGGAGGGGCTTAGGAAAATGCTCAGTTTTATCAGGAATGATTTCGCCAGATCAAGCCTAATCTGAAGGCATCAATTGCCATTTCCCTTTTTCTTAAAATTTTGTTAAACAGAAAGAAAAACCTGGCCTGTCTGATCTGCCAAAACCCATGTAGTTAAGGGACTCATGTCCCAGAACATCTCAGGCAGGTGTGTGAATGAACTAAGAGTTATAGCCAAGTACTGTTACCTTGCTTGTTTCAGCACCGGTGGTATTCTCAGGGCTTCTTTCAGGAGCAAGGGTGGGAGACGTAGGTTTCAGTGACTCAGATACTAAATAGTCAGTGGTTGTAAACTGTTGTATGAAAAACACATTGGGGTATTACTGTCAAGCTTGCTGGTAAGGAGAGATGAATAGTCTCTGGCCTGAAACTGATGTTGATGAAAAATTAATCAGCCGATCTAAGAAAGAATTGAAAATTTTTATTTGAGTCAAATTTGAGGATTATAACCCAGGAAGAGCATCTCGGAAAGCTCTGAGAACAGTTTTGTCCACTAGAAATCAAGGCACAGTTATATAAGTTTTTTGAGACAGGGCTGTACATCAAATGATGTATAAATGACAGTTTACCTAATCCAGATCTAAGCATCATCCTGGTGGGTCATGTGACCCCTTACAAGATCAAGAAGGAATATTATCT